GGTATAAATTCTCGCGCGCGACGCCGCTGGGGCCTACCGTCAAATACCCCGTTGGCAGAAACATGAGTGTACGTCGTGGAGAACGCATGTCTGTCAGCGTCACGAAGTATACACCCGTTTCCTAGAATACAGTGCGCGCTAAAGGACACATTCTGCAATTGCAATTGCAGCCACGAGAACGTCGAAATATGAATTCTGATTTCTGATCAAAAAATTAGGCGACTGATTTGGGGCGGAGATGGTTCAGTGCTAAGCAAAGATTTACACCTGGTCCGGGACTCAGGACTTGGATCGATCTTGGGCAACTAAACTGTCCATCTTTCCGACACCGAGGCCGATAAATTGGTAACAAACCCTTCTGGTGGTATAATGACCTTGAATGCATGAGGCCTCTCCGAGACTCTGAGTGGGAGAAGAATGCGATCGTACTTTGGAAACGGCTGAAACTTATCCTTTTATGCCTGATCGTTAAACTCGAGAGAAAGACGGCCGAAGAAACAGTCAGAAAGGTCGCATATGGTGTTTTTCACGCATATGGTTTGTACTTATGTACATTAGGCGAGGTTGAGGGAGGTTGAGACACCGAACGCACAGGCTGGAGAGTTGTCAACGGACTGGCAAGAGGGAACGTAACCTCTGACGGCATCAAAGAAGAGCTACAGTGAAGCAGCCGGGAGGCCCACATCAGTGGATGGAATCTTACACACGCAACAGGCTTTCAGGGCCTTGTCGCGCACTTTCGATCTTTTTCGGCCTGCGGAAGCTAGATGCCCTGTGCAGATATACGCTTTTGCTCATGAAATAACCTTTACTCAAGAAAACGTTATAGTACTTCAAGCAGAACAGGGCAACAAAGCAGATGAAGCAATTTGTTTGAACTGCATTAATAGCCCTCATTAATCAATATTCTATTTCAGACCTGATCACCGATGGCGACGACCTGTTAGGTTGCAGATGAAGTCTTTGCCAAAGTCGTTATCAGTTAGAGTGAATTTTGTAACATGAAACTGCCAAACATTCCAGACTTTTCTGTAAAGTATGATCTTGAATAAATATATAACATTAGTTCTGTTTCTTCGTTACTGAATACAATCTATAGTCTGTGAGGACTATTAAATATCGATTTTACTACCGCTTTGGTGTGGCTAATGTTCAGAGATGCATTTGTTGCAGCAAGCGGTTTGATAAGCTGGGAGCTGGGTTTTGAGAGAAAGGATACTCATAGTCGTGAAGCAGGAGTTTGCTACATGAACCGCTGAGAGGAAATCTGCACAGAAGAAGTAAGGTGGATTTTATTGGATTCATGATTTTCCTGATGATTCGTGATAATTTGTCTAACTCGGAGCTTGACGGATTTGAATTTGGGTGCTTCCTGAAACAGAGGTCATCCAGCTTCACCACGGAAGAGAAGTTCTAAGATAGTGTATATAAGAATCAAAAAATTTCTTGCGAATCGTCTTGGCGTTTCGAAGGTAGAGAAATGGCTACAATTCAAGAAGGATCTTGCAAAGCCTATTTGCTAGCTAAAATATGACCGATACCGTTCCTTGTGCTCTAAAAGTTTTCTAAATGGTCATGAGTAATGGGACGTGAAGTTAAGTTAGATCTTATACATCCGCAGTGGTGAAAAAAAGAACTTCGAACAAATCGAAGGCCCTCGTTTTTTTGATAGTTTGGTCATATCTTTATGCACTGCACAATGAAGCTTCCTCCCAATTAAGTACGCAAGTATGTTCGCCGCTCTCACCGCTCGCAGGTGATGGTGTTCTGACATCACAGGAGACTTGCATGACTCCCATAGAGGAGATGCGCGATGATATTGCTAGCATGTGAATTCACCATTTTTTTTTTCTATGCATTTAAGCACGTAATTTTTCTCAAAGCACTCCTTCAGGTGAACATGAAGCCGCGACGTACGTGTACCGTATGTGGTAAATGGACGACTGTCATTTATATGCACATGGCCTACGCCCATGGCTGGAATGA